CGCGGCATGGCGGGACAGCGAGCTTGAGACCTGTATGCCTACGGACTGGTACAGCATATACCTTACAAGTCCTATACGGCCCAAATCTATTACACAGCAACTTTCGCGGATTATTGCTTTCCTTTCGCGGACATACTACTTTACATGTTAAAACCGTTTTATATAATCCCCACACAAGGACCTTTAGATCAATGCTCATATGTAGAGAAACATCAACGTCAACGCGGACAGTGTTTGAGATTTGAGGAAGGACAAACATGCGGTGGAGGGAGCTCAGTGAAAAGATGCACGTCTGCACGCATGCCAGCCGAAGCCGTAGCTAGCCAGCGGACACACGTTCAAAGTGACGTTCGAAGTGTCTGCGTGCTCAGCAAGCTCCACATCCTCGCCAATCCTGCGAGCATGAACTGGTAGCAAGTGCGACATCGGGGTACATGACTTTCAAACATGTTTAAAGCAATCCTGTATCGCACCACGAAGCCGTAGGTTTCATTGCAATCCATTGGATCCACCCATTCAGGCCACCTCAGCCGGTGAAGCCAAGTTACATGGAGCGCAACTCGCTCCCCGCTAACAATTAACGATGAAAAACCAGAAAAGCTCAGGGACTGACAGCTCTCGGGCCAGTGGCTTCACCACAAGCCTTCGCCGCCGCTTGAGAACACACACAGCTATTGCTGCACGGAGTCCACCGCCTCATCAACGGCTGTAGCAGCCCTTCTTGAAATCCCAAGTTTGAGAGAATGGCTCCATAGCCTAGCACGCAAGTAAACCAGCGGCTTTGGTGTTGGAGTTCAACTGTTATGGTTGAACAATGTTGAACATTGCCTGGGCATGCGCCATGCTGAGTTTCAAGCGATTCATGCCGTTCGGCCGACGTAGAGGAATGCCACTTGCCTTGCACCACTTGCCCGCCATTCTGCTACATACACGCTGGGCTGCGCCTCGAGATGGTCCAGCTCAGCAAGGACTCGATCGCACCAGTCTGGGGCGAAGATGTCAAACCTAGCCACAACATGCCACAATCATCCCGTGGACTTTTGCTTATTTGCTTGCTTGCTAGGCGTTTGGGGGTCGGGGCGCGAAGCCCCTTCTTCGCCCTGCGCACAGCGCTACTGCGCCAGGGATTCAGCCCGTGTTCGGGTCGGCGTGAGACATGGACTTACTCTCTCTCTCTCTCTCTTGCTTGCTTGCTAGCGGCTTCGAAGGAGCACTTTCTTTCGCCAGGGCTACAGCCGAGGGTTGCCCCTCGAAGGAGCACTCTGTCTCTCTCTCTCTCTCTCTGTCTCTCTCTCCCGGGCGTGAGGGCTGGTCAAAGCCCCCGGGCCACAGGCCCACCCGCATGTGTGCAATGAAGGCTGAGGGGTGTGAGGAACGAACATTATGCTTGCATTGAATAAGGTCATATAGTGTACGATAGCGAGGACAGGAAGTATGTATGTTCTCAACGACAAACAAGCTCCCCCGGCCTTGTTGATGTTGCGCTTGATCAAGATAAGAAAACAGGATCATTCAAAAGGCCCAGTGCAACATCAAGCTTTCGCCCGCTGCTCAAAGGCTATGGGGGTGGGAAGAGCATATGCAAAGGATTGCCTCAATAGAATGTCCAACTGTTCCAAGACTAGGCACTCTCCGTTACAGCAAAACTCAAAGTACAACAAACAGACGTGTTCGGTGTTGGGCATCAAGAGCTTGCTCTGAAGTTTGAAAGGTGCACTCTCTTTCTCGCTCACTACCGGGCAAGGAGAGGCAGTGGCTGCTACCTCCCCGCACGCGTGCGCGCACCCACGGGTCCAAGCGGGGTTTTGGACGCCCGCTCTTGCTTGCTTGCTTGCTTGCTTGCAGGGGGCCACTCTTGAGCCAGAATCTTGAGCCAAAATGGTTGGGACTCTTTCTTTCGTCAGGGCTATGGACCAGGGGTTGCCCCCTAGCCCGCGCGCAAGTGCGCCCCCGACCGTCGTGAAGGGGACTGAGACACGAAACTACTCCACTGAGGCAACTGCGCCTATGGGCCCAGGAAAATAATAGCACTCCTGGAAAGGCAGAAGGTAAATATTTACAACAACGAACGAAGCAGGATGCCTTGGCTGCTGAAAGTGAGGTAAAATCCCCCAAGAGGAACTCTCTCTCTCTCTCTCTCTATCATTCGCTTCGTTTCTGCTCCCTTGCCTGCGCAGACTAGGGTGAAGGACCACGCTTATTTGCGTATATGTGGAGCCTCAAAAGCCCTGCCTTTCACAGTGACCCGATCTGGTTGCAGGTGCTCCGCAATTTATTTGCTCGACTGCTGTTGTGGCTTATCTGTCGGTCAGCGTGTTGCATCTGTTGTGGCCTGTCCGTTCGTGCCGGTGCCTTTTCCACCGACTCGTTTCTTCCGCATTGGACCCAGCACATAGCTTCAAGTAAATTGCGAAAGAGATCACCCAAACATTCCATGCTCGTTGGGCATGGGATAACGGTGTCTAAAATGCATCGTAGAAGGCGACGTCAACCACAAGGTGGCGCGATCTGTGTGGTTCCGGTCCAAGATCGCACTCACGAGCATCGCCGAAGACAAAACACTCGTAGATGCGTGACACGCTGGCCCATCGTATGTTGACCCTACGATCGTTGAAGTTGCGGTCTTAACTCTACAAGGGAAGACCGTCTTGCCCGGGCACGGCCCGGGGATGACCTCAAGGTTGCACGCGAGAGCAGCGAGTCGGCCAGGACATGCCGCCACGATTTTTCTTTCGCGGAGGAACTGCGCGATATTCTCCAGTGGCTGAGGCAGCAAGTTTTTGTGGGCCAAACACTGTTCGTCTTGAACCCCTCAACGCGCAACATCTGACGGGAGACCCTCCAACCACATCTTCTTCAACACATCTTTGGCAAAATAAGTATCCGTCCTGGGCACTGCAGACAGCCCTGAAGATCTATTGATGTTGGAGGCGCCTGAACCGGGTGGCTTTGGCAACATAGGTGCTTTGATCATCGGCGCCGCTCTCCTTGAAGCCCCTCAAGCATTGTCGTGCTCGGATCTTCCCTCACCGTGGATCATGTTCCACTTGAGCACCCAACGAATATGCATCACACATGGGCTCTTTGCAGGAAATCACCAGAGCCAAAAACACACGACATTGATGATTTAACATTTCCGTCGTTGACGACGAGACCTGCAATCACAGGCTCCAATCTCGATAACAAAGGGCACATGTAAGAGAGGCAGCAATGCAACACTCAAGGTCGTCAGGCAATCCACAAGAGCGCGAAACCAAGACCTGATCTTGGCAGAGAAATGAGTCACGGTATCGACGATAAACTCCGACAGTTTTTGATTATCACGGGCACCACCCCAACCCCTCTCCTAGATGAAACGCCTCCGCCGCGTTGACCCGTAGTCTGGGAATCCACAGACCGTTCCAGATACCGAGGACAACTGTGATGGGTCGCTAACAACCGAGGATCTGTCCCTCACTTCCTGCCAGGGAGAGGGGTGCGGGGATTTAGGATTTAAATTTAGGGTTCAGGGTGCTTAGATTTTGGGGTTTGGGGGGATTTTAAGCCGAAGCCGGCTGAGTCTTGTATTCACACGTGGCTTGCCTCACCGATGTGACGAGGACGAACGAGCTATGTCGGTTGAAGATGTGCATAGACAGCGCTGCGGGCGGCAATGTGAGCAGCTACTGAAACGTTTGATCCGATACCCAACTCACTCGCTCACTCACTCGCTCACTCACTCGCACTCTCAGTCACTCCGTCTCTCTACAACTCCATTGCGTTTCACTTGCGGGTCGTTAGACACCCATGGAAACAGGATGCGCTGAATACATTGTACCAATGATGCACCTGTACACGGCGTAGCCTGCTGCATCTCTGCAAACCTGGCCGACGAGTGAACGAAGTGTGTCTTTTAGGTAATTTTGTGCGAAGCTCCCATGCCTCGACTAGTTGCGAACGTAGTGCTGCAGGAGAAGCATCGGCCAGCGCCTGCGTCGGCAAAATGCCCTGCACCTATTCTTGTGCCACAAGCTCCCACATCCGCCTGCCGCAAGGCTGGAAGAAGACAGGAAGCTGTTTCCTATACGGAAGTTTACTGAATGTAACACACGGAAGGGCATCTCGGGGCGATGCTAATTCGGAGCCTCGAGACGAGCACAGGTGATACACATCCTGCGCAATGACATCCCCGCATCGGCAGACGGCCAAATGTGTCACACACAGCTCGCAGCTCCTCGTGGAGCGGTCCTTGCAACTCAAACACTGAGCATTCGCAGGAAGCCAAGGGCAAGTCTGCAGGATGGTGTCAGTTGGGGGTCATACGCAATCTATCCTTAATGTTGGGTCTTTGCCCAGTACTGCATGGCGCACGAGAGAGGTACAGTTTTTTGAGGAAGCTTCCATTTCTTGCCATTTTGCTGGAAAGGAAGAACATCCAGAAAACCACCGGAGAAAACATCCTCCTCGATGTTTGCCATGCCGGGATAGTGGTGGAACTTGTGAGGTGGCCGGAGACTTATTGAGACTGGAAGGGCGTGCTTTTAGACTATTGCTGCTACTGAAATTGGCAAAATCCTTGAGCCAGTCTTGATTCCCAGGACGTCCTGCTGTCGGTGCATTTGTTGCACCCCTGTAGGGACGGGTGAGGTTGCGCGGGTACTTGACCGAACAGTGTCGAAACTATCAGGCTTGCATGGCACAGTAAGTTCTACCTCTGGGCTACCGCTTGGCCATTCGCGGCCTCGAGTTGTGCCGCCACCCCTGCCCACCTCCTAAGTGCTCACACGCCCACAAAGACGCACGCCAAGACAGTGTACTTGCTCAATCACAAGCATGTCTCACGGACCATCGAATATGCCTTGGGGATTTTTGGTAATCCTTAGGGCAGTTGCAAGCCTGGGTTCATAACGATTTGTCTTTGTTAGCAGATCCTTGAGCGCACGCTTTTGTTCGCTCCTCTCCCTTCCGCCCCGTTCAAGGGCTCCCCTCTCCCCCTCCTCCCCTTTTGCGCCCTTATCCCCAGGTTGATCCTGCAAAGGAAGCCTTCTAATTATTACTTGTCGAATGGTTCAGACACCTTACCCTTGCTCCTTGAGTTTAGCAGCCACCAGTCCATTGGCCTCTGGCCTGCCCGGACAACAAACAGACGAAGCCAATTCGAGTTGCCCTCCACCATCCAGACGAGCGTTGCAAGAGCAAACCCTCGACCAGCAACCATCAACTCTAAACCCCAAGGACCTCTGTCCGCAACCGAGCAGCTCCCGCATGTTCGGCATTCCGGGGTCGGCAGCCAGGCGTAAGCCCCCGATATTTCGACTTCCATCATGGAAGATTCACAGAGAGATGCACATCGTGCTGTCCTAGCTCTTTTCGTGCAGCTTCCAGAAGTTCTTCATGTTTCTCCCACCTGGCAGTATAGTACCCTGTCACAAGAGTTAGCACAAGACGTGGCGGATAATCCGTGGGGCGAGCCAAAAATGACCTTCAACGTCGCCCCCGGTGAGCTTTCTCACCTTTGGCGCCGGAGCTACTCACAATTCATTACCGCACATGGGGAAACCCGAACAGCACCTGCCTCCGGCATCGACGTTTTGAGAGCGCGCGCCTGGGACGTCTCAAATCGGTTCAGCATGTTGGCGCCCCGTTGGGGACCCGGACCGCTGCCAAGCTTCCATCCTCAACAAGGCTTAAAAAACAAAGTCGAGCGTCTCATGCTGCGGCGTCTGAGGCCCTTGCAGTTTCGCCTGTGCAATCCATCGCCGCAGTACTACGACCAGCACGATCTAGAGCATTCTTCTGAATCTCTGCATCTTGCCAAAACTGGAAGGGTCTGTCTATGATTGTCTATGCTGCTGAGCCTTGCATTTTGTACCATAATCTCTGAAACTGCGTTCACTGGCGGTTTACTAAGTACTCACGAGAAGTGAAGGGATGTGACATCAACGACTCCCTGACGAACTTACTCGTGGATGACCATTGAATGCGTACGTATGCTGCTCATGAGCACTGAGATCTTTGGTAAGAAGCACAAGCTTGCAATCACACCCGTCACGAAGCTCCAAGAACCGGGTGATCGCAAAATGCGTCCAGGATCATCTGCAATGAGGCAAGTTCGTCCCTGCCTGACGTGATCAGGAGGACAAGTGTGCTCAGCTGAGATACCGCGGACCTGCAGCCGGCTCTGGAAGAAGCAACTTGTTACTTGCATACACCGTTCAGAGCAAGTATGGGACTACATTGAACTTGTGAAGGTTCGTGCAAGGAAACTCAGCTGCACCGAAATTGGAACCCGGCCTTCCATGAAGCCTGCGAGAGGATCCGGAGCCTCTCAAGAGCCAAGTTCCGGTGGCGCAGTCGGATTCTCAACGCAAGTATCGGAATGTACTTCGGACACACCTGGCAGACAGAAGAGTTGCCCATTGCCTCAGCAACAATCCAACTGAAAGCTTAGACCTTTAGGATAAATGCGGATCTCAGGACTGAGCAACTGAGATGCAGGATGTGCCTCTCGTCAAGAGAAGCATCGGAAACTTGACACCGGAAGCGTTTGTGAAGAGAGCAATATCTATTGTGTTGCAATATCCTGAAACTGGTCGAGAGGTTTGCGAATCCTTGAAAGGGGCGCTTGTTTCGGAACCCAACAGCCCCCGCTCAGCAGCTAAGTCACGGCATCTTCGACCTGCAGTCCTAGCTGTGCATTTTGAAATCCCCTCCCTGCCAGTCCTCCGAAAGGCTTCCGACTCTGCTGTCCGCCAGGGCAGGATGCAGTGAATTCAATCCAACTGACGCTTTATGAGATAGAGTCGTTCCCTCGACTGCGGGCCCTTGAGCGGCGACTCAAGACAGAACCGCAATTCTGTGATCACCACACGAATAACTTCCCTCTCCGCTGCCTCGGGATCGACCACCTGATCAGCATTTTCTAGCTACAAACTACAAAGCCAAAACGACTCACAACCACGACTAGACCTCGACCTGGCTCCCGCAGTGCGTACAGAGCCTCCGAAGCTGCACATGGAACAGCGTCCAAGCTATGTCTTGGCAGCATGCAAGCAACATAGTGCTCCTCTCAACTCCTTGCAACTTTCCATGCGATATGGGCATGGGCCCGGGCCCATTGTGCGGATCTGGAAGCTTCCAGACGCGCCCACACGGAAGGCAGAATGAAATCGGTCCCTGCATGCAGCCAACCGCTGTCGGAGTGCATATTGCGATGACCGGTCTGCACCTGTTTTGCAGCGCCCTCATCTTGACGAGGTATCACCTGGGCTGCACTTAACACCGGAGCCAACCGTCCGAGACCAGAGACATCACCGAGCGGTTGCTCGCGATTGCCCTCCGGCATTTTCCGGCAACTTAACCGGTAATTCAGCCTCGAGTCTAATCCAGATCAGCTGATTTCCGATTTGACGACGACAATATGCTGCACCGAAATTGAACGGCAGAGTTCTAACCGATTCCATGTGACAGTCGATTAGGAAAAAGGATAAAACAGGCGCGGCTCTTCTCGGAGGAATTCTGGACGTTTAGACGCCTCGAGAAAATAAACCATTCTACATTTTATGTTGTCACATCCCCCCTCGTGTTTCTACTTTGTGTGAAGAGTTTAAGGCCGTTTCTTGTAAAAATGGGCTTCACGCCGCTGCTAGGGTTTAAGGCCGCCGCCTGTTGTGAGAATCTACAACCCCCCTCTTGAAGGGTTCAAGGCCGCCTGAGGGATAAGATTGCCTCATTTTAAGGCGTCTGCTTGTGGCATTGTTGTGGTAGCACGACAGGATATGAAATTGGACTCGGAAAAAAACGGTCGTAAACCCTGACAAGATGCAATAGCAAACCGATGGCACTATTACAAACGAAAACACAGGTTTTTGAATTAACGATTCTGGGAGGATGCAGTGACCGCAAGCACATGGTGATGAAAAGCGGCCCTGCGAATCTCAACCCCTGGGACTGTAAGTTGTCGCTAACCGCTCGTCAATGCAGATGACCGCGGTTTTGAGGCTCCACCTGGTACGCTTCCTGACTCAGCGCTTGCTTTCAGAACTCGTGTCTTTTGGTTTGCGGGCACAACCTGGACTCAGCGTGTGATGTCATCTCTCCGGACTCCAGCCCCGGCGTGCAGACATCGATTTCCCAACACGTTTTGAACAAGCTTCAGTGGCACATGGCTCGAGAACTTATCTTTTTTTGACTGATCCTGCCAGGCATCGGCAAACGGCTGCCATGCAGTCTTCTCTAAGACGCTGACAGAACTGTCCAGACTTGGCTTTGAAAGGCGGGGTGCTGCATGTTGCTCCTACGAGTATGTCACATCAGAACGGTGCTGACATGCGGTCGGTCATGACTTCAGAATGTGGGTGTACCGCATCTGCCGTGATCTGTGAACCCTCGAAGGTTGAGTCCTCCGGCTGGCCAACACCAGACATTCCTGAAAGCGGGAATCTACGAAAACTGTGTGCCAAAATTCAAGCTATTGCTCCAGAAACGTCCACGATGCTATGTGGATGCTTGGTAAGGTGATGTGTCTGGCTATCATGGCCAGGATGCGTTCCATCGCAGTATCGTTCTTCGTCGAAATCTTTCGTTGCATGAGCAATGGCGGGTCTGTTAGAGGAGTTGAAAGATATTGAAGAATGCGTGAATCTCCCATCTGAAGCACTTGATTTTAAGACATTCACTATTGACACAGATCCCAAGAGAATTGGTTGTGGCATCCTTTGCTACGGTCCTACTCGTACTCTGTCATACTCCCTGCCTTGCCTGGAGCCTTGCTGGGAACAATCGCGATCGGTGCCCCCGGAGGCCGAACCGTCGAAACTGCAAGCGAATCGGCAGCGCTTCTTGCATAAAGGGAAACTTCACAGGCAACGCGCCTGAACGATAGTTGGTCCGCGAGAACTTCAGCCGAATATGATTCAGGTACCTTCCGACGACATATCCATTCCACATATGTTGCGTCGAGTACGCTAATGGGTGATTATGATCAACACAGCACGACTGGCAATGTTCTTCCTCGTCGGGTAGCATTTATGTACATCACGAAGACAACGACGGCAGCGCATGACAAGGGGCACATGTTCTCTTGGTTGGCGAAAATCATGAGCCAGAGTGACTGCAAATCACGGCCGCAGTTTGCCTTGAATCGATGATTCATGAGCGCCAGGATGCAAAGTTGCCAAAGCAGGGAACCCTTGAGAACCTGACCAAAGTGGCGTGTTGATCTGCGGCCTTGAGGGAAGGACGCAAACATGATGAATGCTCCAAGCTCGAACCCAAGATGTGCCGCCTCTGGAAAGTGCAACTCCAGGTCCTCCAGCACCGCCTGATGCACGTGGAAGTCTGACCGGACTATGACCGGCTTAGACGCACAAGCCAGGAGCTCCGTCTGCGCGGCTGCTGGAGCACAGGTTACCGAGAGGGCCAGCAGCAGGGCTGCAGCCGCCAGCATCGAGTGCGGATACCTGGAGCGTTAACAACACTAGGCCACACAAAGGCACAAAAGAACGTCATGCCTGTAATGCAAACCAGCATCTGCCAGGGACAGCTGCAGCCTGAGCAACACCGCCAATCGCATCGTATCGCAACTGAGAAACAGCATCCGAAAAGGATGCTACCCGGATCCACCAGGAAAGAATGCAAAATCAGCGGCCATGCCCGGATTCTTCTCAGGAGTGCACAAGAAATCTGCCAAGTGTTGGGCTCGATCGGGCCTCAGACAGACGGCGGCTACATGCGGATACTAAGAAAGAATGAGACAGCTGAACGACGGGACTGGCCGCAAAATATGCAACGGCCTTGAAGTCAAGCTCGTGGCGCTTGGAAATTGCTCAGCCTGGCACCAAGCGCCTGAGAGCAGCTTCAAACTTCGCTCACGAGGTGTTCCCTAATGCATTCACTGCCTCTAGAAAATCCCGTGAAGTCGGCGTACCCACATCAAACCTGCCAAGATCCAAAGAGACCTTTTGCAAAGGGACCGAGATGCAAAGTACTTGCAAAATGCCTAAGCTTCCTGAGGATGATAAGCTCAGCGGCAATGACATCGTCAAAGGGAACCTGCAGCGTGGCGGAGAAGTGCCCAATGAGATCTGACGAGTTCCCCCAACACGCAGCTTGGACCAGCTAATGCCTCGTCGTGCCCAAGATGTGCAACCACCTGCTATCAGTAGTGTGTAATTTGGCGACGTCTATCATTCATCTCCATTCCAAGGAATCTCGTGGATCTAAGACGGGAAGTTTGCAGACCAGTAACTACCCGAAGCACTTTGTGCCGGGATACTGTAAGCATACTATTGCGTATATAACCCATGAAAGTCCGGACTCAACATGACTCAGAAGGCCCGCACAATCCTTGCATTTCCCCTTGTAGGCATTTTGTATTAACCTTATCAGAACCTCACGCCGATCCTGCTTTGTATCCTAAGCAACGCCGGCACATCCCAATTTGCTTCCTTTTGAGTCGACGCCTAAACTACTTGTCTTTGATGACATTTTTTGTCGAAGAGCATTTATACCATGCATACAACAATCCCTCGACCGTGCTTTTGCCACAGGGCAAGAGTGGAAAAGGGTCAAGCGGTTGGCATCTATGGGCTGCTGTTCATAGGAGTTAGGGTTTTTATCAAACTTACACAAGTACCAACAGATAAGAAATAGAAAAGATTGAACACAGGCCGAACATTTGGTGTCTTTGGGTCTGCCTTTGTGATTGTGGGCGCCGTTTGCAGAGTCTGTTTGATCTCTGTAGATAAAGCTCTTAAGTGTCAGACGAGGAAGATCCACGGAAAAGTTTCTGGGGCGACCCGGCCCCAGACTGAAGCAAATTCAAGCAGATCTTTGGGCAGGGAGGGGGGCACCACCTACATTTCTACAACCTAATATAGTTAAATAGTTAACATGCGTCTTCCTTTCTCGCTCCCGCGCTCTCTTATTTAAGCCGTGATAAGGCAATCTGGAAGGCAGCCACTGCGCACCTGTCGCAGCGGCAGCTGCGGTTCTGCGTTGGATCCAGTCTTCAGCGCCACGCAAACCTTGCATGTTGCACAACTAGGCTATTGGTCCAGGACTGCATGCAAGTCGCGACATTCCCTGAGTAGCGAGCGGCTGCCAACAGCCTTCTTTGCGATTCAGCAGTATTGCAATCCTGAACATCGAAGCGGGTGCTCGAAAAGACGGTGGACTCACGGTTGCCAAGCGGTGCGGCACCTCCTTGGGCAGGCTGGCATAGTACCGATCCAGCAACAATGCCTGGTCTGTTCCGCTTCAGCATAAGACCGGCTTCGGGCACTCATCACCCTGAGGTGTGGGCTGTATCGAAAAGCAACGTATCCGGAAAGCTCATAACCTCGAATGCCTGCTGTGCTCAAGCTAGGCTTGGCAACAACAGCACGAAGGACTTCCAACCCGAACCTGCGCCATCCAGGTCAAAGTTTCTTGTCGGTCTGCTTGCGGCAGGCCTGGTATACTTTGCTTTCCGTTGCAAAGCACATGAAGCTGTGAGTTCTTCGTTCCGCCTCATTGTGTTTTGAACGTTGAAGAAACGGCCTTTATAAACTTGATATAACCTCGGTATCGATGGAAAAGGACCTGGGACTTTCTGCTGTCTTCCGGCAGACCATGGTCCGGGGCTTTCTTTCTTTCATCTTGTTTCACTATTTCGGGCAAACACGCACCCAACCCCGCTTCGCAAGTGGGATCGGCTGCGGACTTTTTCCAGCTCTCGGGTATCGCGAAAACCTTGCGTCAGAAAGCCCAAATAATAATTAGACGATTACTCTAGTGTTCGAGCCGGTGCTTCCACCGAAGGATAAACAGCCGCTCTTCGGACGTCGACATGACAGAACACATTGCACACTGCCCACAATCCTATGCCCTGTTGACTCTCCTCACGGGTTCGCTTTCTCTTTCTGCCCTCACGCTCAAGCTTACGGGAAGATGAGACCCACCACACTGAAGGGTGCGCCCTGTTTCTGAGTTTTGCAAAAGGTTCCGAAAACGTGAAAAAGAGAGGTGCGCCCACTGTCAAGAGAAGGTTTAGAAAAAACATTCGATCCATATCACCATGGTTCATGTTCAACTCTGGGAATCCCAGCCGAAGGCCCCCAGCGAGGGCTCTGAGAAGCGAACTGCCATATCTATCTTTTTTTCCCATATCTGTCTCTGTCCCTCTTTCTCTTTATCTTTCTTTTTGTTTCCGTCACTCTCTCTCCAGGCCTCATCTAAGGCAATACAGGTTCTGTGTGCCCTCTCGCAGCTTGTTCTGCGTGTCTGGATGCCAAAATCGTGTGGGGTAGATAGTGTCACGACATGCGAGCTACCATGGAACATGTTTCTCTGTTGGCTTTGCTTTGCTTGGGGTTAAAGCCAGCCCCCTGACTCGTGCCGAAGCGCATCCCCTTCCATCATGTTGATAGAAAAGGTTTCTCTCTCTCAGTCTTTCTTTCTGACGCCAGGGCTGTGGTGGGGACTCCGTCTATTTCTCTTTTTGCTTTGCTTTGCTTGGGGTAAGAGGAAGTGGCAGTCCCACCCCCTCGCGCTCCAGGGCGCATCCCCGTCCATCATGTTGACAGGCGGAGGGTTTCTGTGCAGGACAGCAGGTACGAAGGTGCACTGGTTCGAGTGCCTCCGTGGGGGCATGGGTATCAACATGAACAAACACATACAGTAAAATGCTCATTGACTCATTGTAACATCAAGTAACCTTAGCAACTGGTGCCCCTGTCTTACATCGCCTTATGCAAAGGCTCGTCTCTAAAAGCTTTCGGGGAAAAACGTGCCTGAATTAACGGCCCTCCACTCTTATGTTCGGTTAGGTACGCTTCTTGTGTGGTTCACGAAATACAGGTATCAGGTGCCCCCGTTAAGCGAATTCAACATGGCCCCCAAACTTTTCGAGCGGGTGCCTCAAGCTGCTGTTGGAACGAGCTGTACACGGAAGGAGCTTAACTCCAGGCTTTGGCTCACTGGTGACTGTGTGTGCCTCTTGCTTGCAAACGTGGTGCCCAGCACCTCAGTTGACCTTGTCCATCTGGATCGCCGTCGCGTGGCTGCTTCCCCCCTTTCTGCCCAGTGTGTCGCCTTGGGTGGTTCACTTGGCTCGGCTGGTCTCGTAGCTCCCGGCACCCAGTGTCGCAGTTGTGGCATCGGTTGGTGTGCACCGCCTTTGGCCTGCGGTGCTGCCGGTTGTGTTGCACCACAGTGGCGGGTCTGGTCGTAGGCGTCCACCGCTCGTCTTTGTGCCACTGCGCGGTCATAGATGACCCTCTCCTCTGCCGTAGTGGGTCCCCTCGACGAAGAAGCGTGACGAGGTTCATCCTGGAGACGCCGACCAGCCCCAAAATCCTTCTGGCACAACTTGACATTGAAGGCTGTCCCGGCCTTCGCGAATCTGCAAGTGTGACGTGGCCTTGAGTTCAAAATAACTAAATGAGCTTGAAAAGTTGAGTTGGGGCTGCTTCGGCCCTTGATTATCAGCTGCATCGGCTGCTATGTTAGGGTGCTTTTTCAAGCTCGAGAGGTGTCTGGACAGGGTCAACGTGGCGGGCTGCAAAAGAAACAATCTGAAATGCCTCGTTTGCAAATCAGGTTTAGGGTTTCGCTTCAAGGTCTGCGCTTTAGATCTCCAGCTCATCTTCGCGTGAAGGTTTGGGACTGAAATCTGCAAAATCTGGGGGCCTTTGATTTTAAGCAATATAGTAATTATAGCTTCTGCTGAGTGATGCTGTCGGTTGCCACGGTGAAAGGTCCGCAGGCGGGTGCAGCTCCCACGCTTCGGGGGTCGACATGGAAGGTGCCTCCATGACGGCCTTTGCCTTGTTGTCCTTCGGCTGCTCCTTCGCTGCTGGTCACTGTGCGGCTTGGTGCCTCGTGGTTTTGGTGCACTTCTCTTTCTTGTTCTTCTTCTTCTTGTCCTGCTTGTGCCTCGTCTTTTTGTCCTCGGTTTGGTCCGCGCTCTTGTAGTTGAGGATGTCCAAGAGGGCCAGGTCTTTGGCCACTTCTTCACTGCTGAGTTCCTCGTTTTCTTGGTTGTCTTTGTCTGCTGCTGGTGGTGTGGTGTCCGCTGCGGTTGTGTCTCGCTGCTTGCCCTGGTGGTGCCCCGGTTGTCGTCCTTGTCTTGGCCCGAGCTCGAGCTTGCACTTGAGGATGACGAGGGAGACGGCGGCCTCCTCGTCTTTGCACTTTGTCTTGCCTCTGTAGTAGGTGGCGGGGCTGCTTTGCTCTTCCAGGTCGTAGAGCGGGTCTTGGCTGCCAGTGGTGTCTGTGTGGCGTCTCGGCGTGGCTTGGGCTTTGGAGTGCCGCCCATCTCTTTGGGTGCCTCCCCACCCCCGGTCTTTGGTAGCGTGTTTTCTGGTACGGCTGTTGAGGTAGTCCTCGCGCGGGCTGGTCGTGTGGTCCTCGTCTGTCTGTTCCTGCTGTGGTGAGAAAACTGTTGGAGGATGCCCTTGGTGCACTTCTCCCATGCGTGAGTCCTCGCTGCTTCCACGAGGAGTTTGCGAGCTGCTCCCCCTTGCGCCGTGCTGCCGTGTAGGACGCCGTCTGCTGCCAACCTGTCGTGTCCGTAGTGCTTGCCTCCTTGGCCTCTGAGTCCCCCAGTCATGCACCTTGGACAGCAGCGGATGCCCCCTATATATAGAGGCTGTTGCTTCTTGGTCTTTTGCTCCTGTTCCACCTTTGTTGCTGGTGGGCCCCTCTCCCTGGCTGGGTCCTCCCTCGTAGGTGTACTTATCCTTCTTGGTGTCCCTGCCAATATCACGAACTCTCCCTCAACGGTCTCCCCCTCCCAGTCTTGTGCTCCGCTGGCGTCTGCACCCCGTCGTCGCGTGTAGTGGTGGTCGATCGGCATGCCTCGCCTGGTTTTCAGGAGTGGCGTGGTAGTTCAGGCATAGTGTGAAGATCTCTTTCTCGGTGAAGATGCCCAAGTCACGATCGTTCGGTTGATGGTGTCCCTCTCCCGGCGGCAAAGGCGACCTCTTCTCCCCCAGGGGATGAGGGGTCTGTCAAACCCCCCGGCCAGTGCCGAGTTGTTATGGGGTTTTTCGGAGGGTGTGAAATACATGTTTTCCGAGTCGGTTCAAACGGTCGACCGAGACACTGAATCAGTACCTGTTGGGACACCATAACGTCTGTTTCGGGGTATCTAGCTAGGTTGCCACATGAACAGAAATAACTCATTCCCCATACAGGCGTTCAACCGAATTCGTTGGTGTGTTGTTACAGCCCCGGAAGCGACCAGGTCACACTATATTCGCTGATGAGCCAAACTCTCTCTTTCTCTCTCTTGCTTGCTTGCTTGCAGGGCGTGTGGGCTAGGGTTCTAAGACCCTTCGCCCTGCGCTTTCACGCTATGCCAAAGTCTGCGTCCGGTGTGTCGGTGTAAGACTGTTGAGAAAGTTCGGCACCAGCTGTATCTCCCTCTCTCGCGCTCTCTCTCTCTCTCTCTCTCTCTCTCTCTCTCTCTCTCTCTCACTCACTCACTCTCGACCAGGTGACCCTGCACTCCGAGCGCGCGTACACCCGCAGTCCCCGGGCGTCCTTCTCCCCCCCTATGGGTTGTTTCCACAGGGGGCTCAGCTATACAGGAAAGACAGATCGTGGCCCCCCCTTTGACAAGGAATGTGAGTGGGTATCAGGCAGGGGACGCAACAACAGAAAGCATTTGTCAAAACATGTAAGGCCAAACATGTAAGACCGCGGCTCTCTCTCTCTCTCTCTACCAGGCAGGAGCCCCAGGGTGGTTCAACCCTGAAGCTCGCGCGCGAGCGCGCACCCGCGGTCCGTCGGGTGTCTAACTCTCCCCCGGTGGGTGTTCCCACGGAGGGCTCGGCTATACAAGGAAGCAAGGAAAAGTTCCTCAGAGGTATGTTCATAGGCAAAGGGGGCGCAACTTGACACACAGCAAACCAGGTAAGGCTCCGGCCAAACTAATACGAGACTGCGTCCCCCCCTTCGCCCCCTCTAGGTTGAATGGTAGGGCAGAAGGAAAAACATGCACTATTCTCCCACGGGTTTCCACAGCTTGTGTGTTGCGAATTTACACCTTCTGGTCCCCCGAATTTGAAGATTACTGACTACCTGTTGAGCTACGAGGTGAGTTAAAAAGAAACGAGGATTACGGGCGCTGTGTCCCCTTGTACGAGTGGAACGGAGGGTGGCTGACGAGCCTAAAAAAGTTCACACCTACTACTCAAAGTCCGCCTCAGACAGTACTCGGTCTTTTTGCAAAGCTGCCGCGGTTGCCATCGAGCTCCCCCGGAAAAGAGACAAAACTGCACCGAGGAGATATGATTCTCCCCCTTTTCGCTCACCTGTTAGCTTCGCTCTTTTCTCGCACGACTTTTCGCCATGTGCGCTTGGACAAGTTGCACACTTCTCCATGCCGCATTTGGGGTCAACTGTATTCTCCCCTTTGGGTCGTCCTGGCCGCTGGAAAAGCTTCGGTGCCTCGGTAGCGGGTCCCCCGCAGGTTCACGAGGCTTCTGTGCTAGCACTCCAGCGCTTTCTCCACGATCCGATGGGCGGCCTGCTTCTCCCCACGGCCATGAGTGAGCACTGGTGGTTGGTTGCTGGGCCTCTTCCTCTGTACTTCCTCCCCCCCAGTCTGGAGGAGTGTCACCGTCGAGCTATTCCCCGTCGTCATGGCCAAGAATGTCTCTATGCTCCTTTGTCTCAAGCTCTCCTGCTGGTTCTTCCCCCGGTACAGCCTGAGCGGCAGCTCCCCCGGGTGTTGTTGCGTCGATGAGCTGGTTGGTTGCAGAACTGCCTGGTGTTGCTGTTTCCTCCGGTTCTTGCGGATCTTCTTTCGGATTTTCCGCACGTGGCCAAGCACTGCCCCCACCTTGTGAGGAAAACGGGCTATGTAGACGCGAGCTTCCTCCGAGACTTGCGGCACGTACTTGTCTACCAAGCGGATGTAGCGGTCCACTTTGTCCCCCAGTCGGCTCCTTCGCAAGCGTCTGGCGTGGTAGGCTTCGAAAGAAGTAGCGTCCTTTTTTGAGAGGGGCTTCCCCGTTGAGAGGTCGAGGTAACGTGCGGTATCATGGTCTTTCTCAATCCCCCGGCCTATCCAAGCATCAAGGCGTTCAGGTTCGAAGAGCAGGATCCTTCCCCCACGGGTCTCAAACTGTGTCATCTCCGCGAGTGGTCGTGGCGAGGGTGGCCGAAAGGTCGCTGCGTTCCCTCCTGTACGAGGCGGTGCTTCCTGTTGTGGATCCCCCTGCACAGGGCGGCTGCGAGGTCCATTTCCTTTTGCCGTTGACCCATGCAGACGACATTGTGGAACTGACCGTTCGTGGGACTGTCGGAAGCCGATAGTGCAAATGCCCTCCCCAAGTCTACATAGCTTGCATTGTTTGTCCATTTGTTTGTCCATCCCCCCCTGTATGTAGTTTGAACTTCACGATCTCGCCCTTCCTGCCAAGTCATTAACTTCCACTGGATGGTGTCCCCCGTCCAGCGTGGTGGTTCGAATTGGTCAGCGTGGCCGCGGAATCGGGAAGGTCGTTGGTGGAGAAGCGTGTCTCCCCCCCGGGTGGGAAGTCCAAGAAGAAGGTCTTGCAGTGTAGAACTCCCCTCCAAGGATGTAGTTGTGCGATCTTGCCCTGCTCGACTATTGCTCTCCCCCTAAGTTTCCTGCAAGGGCCACTGAAGCCAGGTGGCAGCGGTTATGAGGCTCAAGCCTCCCCCGCTCGATGGAACGTCCACCCGACGGGGATGCTGGGAGCAGCCAGCAACCCCGAAGGGCCGTCCTCGAGCGCTCCCCCCAAGGGAAGCGGCAGGTCGACTTGAGCCAAAATGGCTAAGGCCGCGGCTCTCTCTCTCTCTCTCTCTCCCTCCCGGGCATGGGGGTCGGTCAAGACCCCCGGGCATTTAGCCCACCCGCAAATGTTTTGAAAGGAAAGGGGTGTGAAGAGCGAGCAACAATCACCTGCAGGCTAAGGCCGTAAAGACTACGATAACTGAACGAAGGTGATTGTATGCTTTCAATGACACATGCGGAAAAAAAGGTACTGCAAATAAAGGAAAGAGGGCACAATACTACAGTTTCTGGATCGCGGTCCAAATTATCGAATGCCACCTCCAATTTTCTTGGAAACAGACAAATATGAAGTAGAGGAAGCCGGAAAGTATGGCTACCTTTATGCAAGAGTAAGTGCCCGGGGCATTCGAGGGAGGCTTCAAGTGGAATACAGTGCGAAATCATTTCACTGGCCATGCTCAGCTCTTTCCACCTGTTTGGCATTGAGAAACAACGATACAGCAATCGTTCGAGGCCATAAAGGGCTACCATATGTGTTCCATCTTACACGAGGAAAGGCTCAGTCTGTGTTATGATACTAGATCTGGATCGGGAGCAATCAAGCTACTCCTACATGGCATGAGGAGAGGAATGTACACAGATAAGGACACATTCCAACTAGTCTCTTTTTGCTCCGTCTGTAACTGACAGTTTTTCTAGAGGTATCCCCCTGTATGGTATGGAATCAAAGGCACAACGATACGGACGGACCTAAAGGACTACCATGCGTACACCAGAAGGTTGAGGGGGACCTCTGTTTCTGTCAAGGTTTGTTGATTGAGGTGTGCTGTCCCCCGGTCTGATGCGGAAACAATGACACGGCTATAGATGAAGCCCCTACCGGGAGTAGCCTGTGTAGTTGTTGAGGGGGGTGACAGCGATACCTCAACTTCAGTTCTGTGGAGGGACAATTTCTCTCTCTCTCTCTCTCTCTCCCCTTCCACATGGCATAGGGGGTGTGCAAGACCCCCTGGCCTTTAAAGGCCCCCCACTATTTGGGGTATCTTTGAAGGGCTCGCTCTCTCTTTCTTTCACAGGGCTCAGGGGCGAGCCCTTTCTCTCTGTCTCGGCAGGCTTGAGGAAGGAAGCAGCCGACGTTCTCCCCCGACCGACTTCAAAAGTTCGCATCTCTGAACAAGACTCACTGAACTGCGGCAAAGACATCAATCCTACAACTCCTTACAATGCCGGCTCGCTTCGCGAGTTCCTCCCTCAAACGTCTTCTCGGCTCGGTCATGCTGTTCTCGATTTGCCCCACCGTCGGGTGGACACTTCGAACCTCCTGCTGCATGCTCCCCAGTGCTTTGGCCCGTCTCGTTATGGTATTTCCCCGCTCCGTCTGCAGCAATCCGCGGAGAAAAGACAACTTTGTCAGGGGGGCAAAATGGTTCTTCTTCCGCACATCCAAAGGAGAAGCAGAGCTCGTGCACACATGCGGAGTTCGGCTGTTGGCTCTCTCGCTCTCATGTCCCACCGCTCGTCGCCCAGTTCCCATCCCAGGTCGTCCTTCGAGTAACTGCCTCGCACAAGGCTTGTGGCGCTGTGAGCTTGAATGCAGCGTCCTGCATGCGGCTTCGTCGCTTGGTTTTGCTTCTTGGTTCAGTTCGCCCACAGCCTTGGTCGTGGTGACAGTGCTCTATGTGCACGGTGAGGCCGACAACAAATTAAACTCGACAGCTAGATCCATCCGTCTTTGTGTGCAGCCTTTCCTTGAGCTATATTCCGTTGCTTACACACCTGGGTTTGCTTGGCTTTGTTCTGAAATCTGCACGGACTACTTCATAGTCGAGGTTTGGTGTCCGAGAAACTGACACTGCAAATGAGGGAGTCCTGCAAGCACCATCTGCCACGTCGGCCAAGCTTGCTTGAACACGATCCTCGCAAGCATGCTGCAGCACCCTCTACATGACAGGACGTGAAATTGCACCACCTCTGGTGATGGTGAATTACGCTTTGACGCGAAATATCGCGAAAGCATCGACCTTGGTCGCGGTCGAAACCGCTGTTCCATGATGTTCGATGTTGCATGGTCTGCACTCTGCACAAAGGGATTATCTGGGAACACCTGGGAACCAGGCTGCTTTCCGACAGTGCGGCCCTGCGTGTCAGCATGCGCTGCCAGCACGCCACGAAAGCCAGCACCGGTGCAAAGCACTAGGTCTGTCAAGAAAGTACTTACCTGTGGCACAGCCTGAGAATTTTCAAGAAGCTGCGGTCTACCAAACAACAGTTTGGTAATTCTTTTGCAAAATAGGATTCGGATCAATGGCTCCCGCCGACGGGCAGCACGGTCGGGTCACGCGGAGAAGCCGCAAGGAGCGCGCATGTCCAATCGTTGCAGCTTGAGTCAGTTGCATCCACCCAACGCCGAGTGATAAGGCCAGGACTGGCGTGCCTGGAATAACAAGGCCGCAGGCACTAGGCCCACAAGCTGCCAAGCTCCCAAACGGGGTGTTCGTTTTTCCAGAGTACAAGTGGTTTGCAGCAAAAGTGCCGGAATGAAGCGGAAGGACTGCAGCTTCCTAAAAATACGTGAATCTCGAAAAGATGCTCTCAACATTGCAGACCTGCGCTGGACATAGTCATCAACGAAAGATCGTTCGCTCCCACCCTTCTGATCAGCACGTGGTCTGATGCGGCACCTTTGATCTAGGATTTGGTTCTGAGTAGGCATCATTCTGACTTGCCCCTGACTAGTTCTGATCAGTGTAAATTCCAAAGCAGGATGCTTATGGCACCGTGCTTACCACGCGTCTGAACAGATTGCTCCCCGTTTGTCACACACGCAGTTTGGAAAGGGAGGGCAAAATCATGAGAAAACTGTGTGCGCCTTTCAAAACTGCCAACCGTAGTCGGTTCAGGGCATGAGAACCACCAACAGGCCTCTTCGGGAGACGAAGTCACAGCGGAGGCCTGGAGCACCGGCAAAGCTTTCGATGACTTTCGCGTCCCATCGCCACGGACAGCTTGGCCCACGGCTCTCACGGCTTGGCATCTTGGAGAAGTGTCGGACGTCATCGAACTCGGAATCGGCCATTCGGTGCACTTTGCCGCTCAACTGCAAGTCGAGGCTCCGACCCAGCTCGCTGAAGCTGCATATGGTATTGATGGCGTGGTTGCGTTGCAAATCAAATTTAGTGTGCAAAACAGTCGAGAGAGCTGAGCTTCACTTGCAAGCGTTCGGTGTCTTCTGCCACCATGCAATTCGGTAACATCAAAACTTTGCTTAGACTTGACCATACCATATCACCGCACAGTTGGCTGGACTAACTGGGCCAATGCAGCTCGAAATTCGCTCCCATGAGCGCTAGAGCTCAGAGCAGCCCACGTTCCCTGATGACCAGACTCTGCTTGCGAAGTGATCTCGAGGTGCTTGCGCAGCTCAGTGTGCCAGGTTCTGGGAATTTTTCCGGCAGGGAGGCCACACCCGCGAATCTGCCACAATGGCTGTGTCGATTGTTTCGACAAGACGAGGGGGACTATGATGTCTCGAATCAAGTAGCCCTACAGTGCCCTACAGTCTTTTTTGGAGCATACGCTGCAGTCGCACCGAGCCTCCGACATTCCAAAACCCCCCCAGGCAGCAACACAGTTCACAAGGCACTTTCACGAATATTTTGTGGAACACTCCAACATACTCCAACTGTCTCGATGCTCCTCGAATATGATTGCAGTGACTACATCTCAATGATGCCTTGCAGAAAGCTCCAAGCGCATTTTGCTGTCCCTTGCTTCGCAAGTCGTCTTTGTCGGGCTGTTCCCGAAGACTCCACGAAAGCTCTCCGTCAAGGAGCTTGCAGGACCTTGCCCGAGCGAATGTCTTTGATGCTGACAGACTCAAACTCAGGACGCCCATGCCTCCACTGGCTCCGCCTTACGCTCCAGCACGGGAGCCTCACGTACAACTTCATAGAGTTTCTATCATCTTTTGTCGCAGGAACCGTCCATTGAATGGAACCTTCGGGCGCTCGGATCGTTGCCGTGCCGGGACCAGGCCTCGGTGGGGTTTGACGGCGCGGGCGAGCAGCTCAGATGCCAACCCACAGGCAGGCCACAAGGCATCTCGTGCCGGCATCTGGGCTGCAGCTGCCTGGCCGTGTGTGAGCATGTTTCCAAGCTCAGCCTGTGTCCATCTTTTCATGGCCAAGTAATCACCAAGCCCACCACGCATTGCAAAATTGCACGCCGAAACAAGTGCTTAACCGCTCCTCACCCCGGGGTTGGCGGGCAGGAAAACTGACCTACACGGCAACGGACACACAAGTTCCCACCAACCACACTCAGCAATTTTCACTTCAACAAGCGCAAACTAATGTTTGCGACGACAATTAATTGCTGAACCACTCCCCAATCAACGAGGATACGGATCTTCGAAACATAGAGCTCGAGGCTTTTGCTATCGAGGCCATCGCAACTCGCAATCGCTCCAGGAGCTCGAATCTCTGCTACGGAGCGTCAAGCCTGTGCTATCCATTCCAGAACAGGAATGGCACGAGGACGACCCCGTGGGTTTCGAGCCGTCCCGACCGCCCCCTCTACCGGCAGGGTCCGTAAACATGCTCATTGCAAATCTCTCTCCGGGCGGGAAGATTCATCGTTGCAGAACCGTTCGAAGGATCCGCAAAATGCACTCCACCCCAGGCATTGGCGAGGATACTGTTCCTGGCGGTTCGCCAGGGACAACACGTTGTTTCGCTGGATTCCCGGCGACTACGAGGGCAGAGGATCGTGTGGCATTTATGTTTGTCTTATGTCTTTGGAGGTTTGAACTCACTCCGGGTGGCCATTGGCATCATATATTTATTCCATTTGGAAACCTACTCAGGTGAATGTGTCAGCATGCTGGACGTCCTTCCGCACAAAATCCGATGACGAGCCAGAGGGCCAGCAGGGAACTGACATTTCCGGCATCAACAAGCTCATCGGACTCCGGATGCATATCAGCGGCGATCACAAAAGATGAGATTCAATCCGATGCTCATGGTGGGAGGGTGGAGGCCAGAGCTTTGCTGGAGGCTGTAACAAGTGGAAGCTCTCTGGGCGGAGGACCGGCTCAGCCGTGTGCCATGTTGGCGAAAGGGGTGGGTGCCCAGATCGTTTTAGGCCGCCGCTTCCCTGGAGCTCACCACTCGAGCTCTTCCTCGAGCTCATCCTCAGTCACTTCGGGGTCCTGGAGCTCCACCACGACTGCCAATGCAACGACCACTTGATTTATAAAGAGAGAGAGAGAGAGAGAATGCATCTGTGATTTATGGTGACCTCGCGGGCAGCAAGAAATTGTGCCGCTGATCGTGGCTATGATGGGGTCGTCGGGACCAGCCATGACACGGCACCTTTCAGCAACGCTTTCCATCAAGGCATCTTTGCACGATCTGGCACGTACCCGGTCGATCCCGGTTGGCTAATGCCAACTGCTCGCCCCAAGGATGTCCCCGATGAACCTGCTCCTGCTTTGCCAAACCAAGGTACTACATCGATAGCCTGCTGTTGTGAACGCTTCCATTACGGTAAACATGCCATCGGGGGTTGAGCTTGAAGGGTTCGAATTTGGTTTTCGCGGAGACTCCAAGGCTTCAGCCTTGACTCTACCGGCACAAGAAAGTACTCGACCGAGGGTCGGCCAAAATTACTTCCTTGCATTTACAAGCTTGACTGGCAGCTTCGAGTGCTTTTGCTCGCATTGCCCCCGCCGTATGGGATCGGCTTGCCTTCTCTCCCCATCTCTCTCACCTTCTACTCCTACTTCCCTTGCAGCAGGACCTTCGTGTGGGACGCTGGCTCGCCTGGGAGCAGCTTCTGGTTCAGGAGACGTTCTAGGCCGTGGCCAAAACGCGAGCGCAAACGACCGGGCCCGGGCGTCTCGCTGCGAGACAAGGAAAGAAGAGATAAATTGAGAGAGAACGGCAACCTTGCAACCTCAACAGCGACTGAGTCTTCCTTCCTCAAAGCGCTTTCCGGAAGGTGAGTCTTCCTTCCTCAAAGCGCTTTCCGGAAGGTAGAGCCCAGCACCACCTCACTGCAAGGCACGGTGCTTAGCTCGGCCGGGAACGGCTTTCGTTCCGACGCACAAAGTCGTGAGACAGCATCCACCTGTGCATTGGACACCCTGACGGTATGCACCACAGCGGGTGGACTAGTCGTAACGTGCTGGGGAGGCAGACCGGGCACTTCCACGAGACAAAGCTTTTCAGAACGCGACGGCTGTCAGAAACGCCACCACAAAGGCGAGGCCTTCCTAGAGAGCGCTCTGCAGCGAACTTGTGGACATGTCGTCGGGGAGGTGATCTGCCTTTCACTCGGCACACCCCTCCAATCCCCACGGCACGTTTTGAGCAAGGTGTTGCTGCCGGTGAAGAGGTGAAGGGGGCTCGTATCCAGCGAGGCTTTGGCGCGATCCTTCTGACATGAATGAGCTAAGTAAGCGGAGCTTCCTGGCCCGCCGGCTTGGCCAGGAACTTGTCGATCTGGCCAGCTGTTTCATGCCGTTCCATGTTGGCCTTGGGGAGTGTGACGACCACGACCCGAACGTCGCCGAGGCAGGCGACGCGGCACTGCAAATCTCGTGGTCCAGCGGGGTCCAGCACCGCCGTCTCCACAGAGCACGCAGGTCGAGCGTCTAAACCGGATCGGCCAGGGACACAGCGGCTGTCGTTCGACCAAGCCAGGCTGCCTGGCGGCCCCACAGGACAGGCCAGGAAGCAGACCCAAACGTCCTTCCATTCTCCCTGCTCGCATGCCTCGCTCAGGGCACAGACCCTTTCACCAAGGTGGGGTTGTCCGGAAGGCCAGTGCCTGAACCAGGCCTCGTGCTGCCTTGGTGGGGCGGTTGCCGGACTGGTAATCTCTTCTGGTTTGGGTTGTTTTGTCGATCAGCCTGGACCTGCTGCCAACGCCGGGGTGGGCTTGTTCTTCTGCGCCGGTCGGCATACGGTGCCGAGCCGCCAGCCACCACTTGATTGAGCGAGGCAAGCTGGTCAATTGAAGGGTCGTCTGTGTGGAGCTTCTGGACCTCCGTGTTGGCCGTCCGCGTCCAAGGTGGGTCGTGGCTGTGCCGGGCCGGTGCTTTTCCAGGAGGGGTCTGGCGGCTCTCGGCGAATCCGGCTGCTGGCCCATCAACAGCAAAGCGACCCGAGCTGCCTCAACCAAGGAAATTACACAAAGAGGTCCTGAAGCCCCGGTCCACGGCGAAAATGAGGGTGATCTCCCGGACCCGTGGAAAAGTGACGACCCTGGTTTGGCCCTTTTCTTCAAGGTGAGCTTGGAGCCGGGGGTGTTCGCCGAAGTGGGAGAGGGCCACCGAGATGCGGCCTGCTCGTTGTGAAACTGAGCGGGCGGCTATCTGGGCCCATCTCCCTGGAGTTTGCCAACCGGGGCCTGTCCAGATGGATTGCCGCCCACAACAGTTGCCCACCGCCCAAATGCAAAAGCACACAGCCAAGAAGGCGAAGTCCAGACCCTGTGCCTCAAGTCCATAAACTTGCACCCACCTGTTGCAGAACCACTAGTCAAAACCTTGGCTGTGATCCTTGGGTCCAAAATGGCCACGGAACACAAGTTCCCACCAACCACGCTCAGCCACTGTCACTTTCAGCAATCGCATTCTCAGAAGACTATAACCCACAAAAAGACAACAGGTGAAATGCGCGGGTGATGAGCGTACTCCGCAACCCGACTTTCCTTCTACCGGCCTCACCAACTGCGAAAAATCCCACGGTCGGTGGCGGAAGTATGCGCCAAAGAACAGGACTAGCTTTCATGGGCACGTTGCTTTTCAGAAGATCCTGTGAAACTTCAGCGTTCCCTCTGTGTTCCGTGATCCGGCCTGATCTGCTGGGTAGATGAAATAAAGAGGCCTGAAGAAGAGGCAGGACTTGGAGTTGATCTGCGCGCTGCACGGAATTGGCTTCCTCAACAAGCTCCATGATGAGAACCCAGATAGGCCAAGCACAAACCAATGAAGAAAGACGCCGTGTAGATCAAGGCGGTTACCTTGGGAGTGATCACATGCGTAGAATTTGATCGACTGCGCCACGTGCTGAGCCCATCTACGATAAATGTGAAACGATAGTCGCCGGCATAGTCAGCCAAGTAGCCGCCTGCACTTCACCCTCTCAAGGCCCTGCCCTGTCAGCACAGCGCCGCACAGCGCCTAGAGCGGCACTTCCAGACCATGTGAAGCCAGACAAAGACTGGATGGAGTTCCATCTTCCTCGAAGATCCTTCGGCAAACAAGTTTCCTTCTCCCACTCTGCCTGCCCTTCATAGCCATGCCAGCAAGTCAAGTTTCCAAGGGTCAGACTACAAACCTCGAAACTCGAAGGATGGCGCAAGTTGCAAACACCGTGCGCGAATCGACGCAATGCACAGGTTCGATGTTGCAAGATTCCTGTTTCTCCGTCCTGTACGGTTACCCCTCTAGTGGACCCTTGAACTTTGCAGTGCTCATCTGAGTCTCTGAGGTAACCAAGTCCATGATCATTGAGCGAACGATAGGACCTGGCATGAGTCCACCGCTCGAGAACACTGCTCATCTGGGCGCGTCCGACGAGTCTAGCCTCTTGCGTTCATCAGCGCACCCCTCAGCAGGTAGAGCGGAAGGACCAGGACAAGCGATCCTGGCGAACACACCCACAACATTACTGCCCTGTCGCCAATCTTCTCGTCTTCACGCGCACAGCACATGTTAAATTCTGTTAAATGCCACCAAGAAACTCATGTAGCACATGGCAAACAGACATGCAGTGCCTCAGAAACTTCGCGAGACACTCATAATTAGATGACACGAGCACGAGTGTAGTTTGAGAGCAATGCCAAGGAAGTGGAAGAGCCTCGGCATCGGCAAGTGACTACAACATGTCAGGCACATTGCTTAAGCTTCGGGCATCACTGCTGTGAGGCGACCGAGTCGCTTCGATATTCTGCGGCCTCAAACGAAACAAAGTGCTGCAGAAAGCAGAAAGTATGTATGCCCTTAGAGCTCAAAAGACTGGGAGAAGCGCAGATTTCCACCTCACGACAAGTGCATTTTGTCGCACAAACCACGACTGAATTAGCAGCAAGGCGCCGACCATGGCAGAGATGCATAAAGGGTACACGCAACTCAGAATGCCTTGGCAAATCCCGCATGCGCTCATGCATGCTTATGCAGTGGCCCGTCGGAGGGCAGGACAACATGCCAAATTCCTGAAAGGCTGCAAACCTCCAGGGGTGTGAAGTGATAGTCGACTCGGAAGAAGAGCGGGAAAAATTTCACCTGGGCATAGCCACTTACACAGCCTGACCTGCCAAGTTTGACATCGAACGGGAAATCAAAGGCACTGTCATCCCAGCGCCGATGGCTGTAACAAGCGACATAAATTCGAGTGTCCCTGCAATCCACCACCTCCAGCAGAATATGAAGTCACGCAGCAGTCGCAGCCAGCGCACGCACTTCACGGTTCACTCTTTCTGCTTTCGCCAGAGAAAGTACGCCATTCCAGCCTGACTGGAATACCGAGATGTCGGCGCTCCAGATCGCTAGCAGCATAAGCCGAATGCTCATCGTGACGGCTACCGCCTCATAACAAACGAAGGACATCCACTGAACTGAGCCATGCTGAGCGCAGTTTTAGGCGCGAGGCGAAGACGCACACACGCGCTGCGCAAGGCGCCGAGTAAAAGGCTCCCGCCTCTTGTCTCGAGTGGCGGCAGATCGCTTAGCCGCAAAGTCCATATCAAGACACCCGGCCAGAGAACACATCCAGACAGAATTACCGACCGGAGCAGGGAGCTTCCCCAATGATTCCTTGGGATCATACAACGTCAACAAGCGTCTGCAACCAATGCTCGATCGGCAGGATCCTACTTTGATAATGGCCAGGAGTCTGATGCGAGATCAAAAGCATGAGGGCTTGAAGTAGCGGTCCGGATGCGATTGCTATGAGCCGAAGAGACGTCATTCGCGAGACAACCTGAAAGACCAAAGGCAGCCCCTACATCCTCTCACAGCATACAGACATGAAGTCATGCACCGAAAAATTCGATGAGCAACAAAATGATGCTACTGTACATAATACTGGCCGCCTTGACGCGTTCGCCTGCATGTGCCGAGTCGGCCACAACGACTTGGGCAGTACCTCACACTGCCGTCTGCCGCCGGCAATCAATCCATTATCCACACTGGCACGGCGGAACGTAAAAAATCGGAAATTGGCGCAGCTCTGACGGCCTGTCGTCTTTTCATGTACACGGAAGTTCAGTTGGCCAGTGCTTACATCGGATCACTTCATGAACGACTACTCAACCATCACTCACGCCCCAACGGAGAAATGTGATGCCAGCCCAAACATTCGCAGGCGTCTCGCTTATCATTGGGCCGCACCTGACCCCTCACCAACCTCATCACGTACAGTATGTTACGAGTTGCTAGTAGCTGCTAGTAGTCCCTTCGTCAGTTCTGCCATCGAGATCGTGGCAGCACCATTGACAGTCCTTGCAGCATACAGTACGCTCCCCACCATGAAAGAGAACAGAGATGCCGCGAGGAGTTTCGTAGCAGACGCGCCCTAACAAAAGAACACCGATCCGTCGCTTCTCACGCCACGCCAACTACACCGCACATGGACGGTATTGCAGACAGCCGCACAGGAAGCCTTGCAGGAACACATTCGCACAGAAGAGTCCCTCCCGAATTGCCCGAATCATTTCCCGCAATTTTCACAACACAACCCACCACAGCCCGGCGTTCGCAGGACTGGCCTGGAAGCCACGATTCCATGAAGACATCAGCAAGCAAGCAAGCAAGCAAGCAAGCAAGCAAGCACAAAACCACGTGCCTCAAAGATCCTCCAAGAAACATTGGCAAAAGCCAAGCTCGACCCGCGACAGAAACGGAAGTGACTCAACCCCGCCAAGATTGATCTCATAGGGTCATAGCGTCATAGGGTCATACAAGCACGGGCAGACCCACGAGCCGCAGCAGGTCTAGCAGTGTAGCACTTGGCTAAACCGTCCAGACCAGATGCTACCGGCAGAACGTAGAAATTACTCGACAGCCACAAAAAGCTCTTCGGGTGAAGGTTGAATCAAGGAACGGGATCGGAGAGCAGGAGGGTCGGTCGAATCGGAGACCAGGAAGGGCGAATCCGAGACCAGCAAGGGCGAATCGGGGGAGCAGACTCGCAGACCAGCCACCAGATTCCCAGACCGGCCACGAATCGGAGACCAGAATAGGTCCAATCAAACACCCAAAGACCGATCCGACCGCCTGACCGACCCGCCCGACAGACCACCCACTTGACCCGACCCCACCCAACGACCCGATCCAACCCACCAAACCCGGCCCCACCCGACACGACCCCACCCAACCCGACCCCACCTGACCAACCCGACCCCACCAACCCGATCCCACCCGACCGACCCGACCAACTGCACCCGACCAACCCGACCGACCCGACCCGACCCGACCGATCACACCGACCGACCCAACCGACCCGACGGACCCGACCGACGTCACCAACCCAACCGTCCCGACCATCCAACCCGAGCGTAACCGACTCAACCAACTGGACCAATTACATTCTGCAACGATGACACACCCTCGTGGCAGAACGCTGTCGGCACGGTCTTGAGGCGCAGTCACATCCCCACCTTCACAACCCCGGTGTCTGTAATGTAGTCGCAGTCGTCGTCGTCGTCGTCGTCGTCGTCGTCGTCGTGGTCGTCGTCGTCGTCGTCGTCGTCGTCGTGGTCGTCGTCGTCGTCGTGGTCGTGGTCGTGGTCGTCGTCGTCGTCGTCGTCCTCGTCGTCGTCGTCGTCGTCGTCGCCGTCGTCGTCGTCATCGTCATCGTCGTCGTCGTCGTCG